ACGCATGCAACGTCGCGACGGCGGCGGCGAAAAAAAAAAAAAAAAAACACTAACCTGACTCAACTTGCACCGCCGCCGTCGACGCGCACGTCCATTCACACGCGACCGAATAGTATTGTTGCCAGAGGTCGCCAGCCAGCGAGCTACGCGCGGCTACGGCTCGTCACCGCGACGGTAAATTATATAATATTATCATCGTCGTCGTCGTCGTCGTCATCATCATCATCATCATCATCATCATCATCATCATCGTTATTGTACGCATTATAAATACGTATCGTACGGCGGGTGCGCGTGTATTGCCGCGGTGACGACGCGCGTGCGGTCTCGGTACGATAAATATAATCGTACCCGATATTATTACTAATTATTGTGCACTGCCGTTGCCGCGTTCGTTCGTGGCGTGTTGAAACGGCACGGACGGTCGGCGATAATCGGCCGGTTAATTAACGCGGCGGTTAGGCGCGTCTGTGATACCGCGGGGCGGCGTTCTCGCAGGGTGGCGGTAGGGGGCGGATTGGCTCACGTGCCCCCTCGCCATCACCACCACCACCGCCACCACACACCTAACCTCTCCGAGAGGTCTACGGCCCCGGGGCACGGGCGTTCGCGCTCTTTTTCGCGGCGTTTCATCCACTTGTTACGCGCGCGCACGCCGACGCGAAATGCCGAGTGTTGAACGCGGCAACTTGCCGCGTGGCAATTATGACATCGTTATCGTATCATCCGTTATCCGCGGGCCTCGGAATTTACGCGGCGCCGAAAACTACTGGACTACGCGCCCGACAGTGTCGCATGACCGCGCGAATTTTCGAACGAACTGCAATCACGTCGTAAAAACCGCACGAAAAATGGCAAACAGAGAAAACGCGTTTATTTTTTCAACCGTTTTTAACGTATAAATACGGCCGGTAAGAATAGCCGTAATGCGGTGTAGACCGTTCGACTTGGTCAACACGCCGGACTGCTTATAACTAATCGACTATAATATGAAACGAACGTGTAGGTACTTTACTCACGGATTCACTTTAAGCGGACGCCACACCGACATCTACTGTCTCCGTCTGAGTGGAACCCGCTTGATTTTGGTTTTAGAGTAAAATCACCGATTATAAAATTAAAAGACGACAATATCCCATGAAACGAACGCACAGCTCATTCTGTTATGTTTGTCTGAATTCTTCGATAATAATTAGCAAATGCTATAGAATCCGAGCCCCGAATATTGTGAAACTGATTTATGTGCGCTCGAAATATACGGAGCTAAAAACACTCATAAAACGTTAAAAAAATCACTGAAAAAAAAAAACACTTCAAAAAAAATATTTGAAAAAACCGAAATTATCAGATGTTTAAAAGTCCCCTTCCAACAGCTCTAAAACGTATTAAATACATTTTTATTGTGTTTGACAATTTCAATGCATAATAAGTTAGAAGTGAGACTTTACCCTCTACCGTTTTTCCTTTTAGATGAATATATTTTTTTATTTTTTGACGTTTTTAAGCGTTTTTTTGTGGACTTCAAGTGCATGTTTAATCCGTAACCGAATATATTATCAATGTTAAACGTTAAACAGTCACTAATAGTATAGATATAGGCACTCGTATATCAGTTATAATATTTTGTTCGTGATATGTTTATTCACCCCTAGTCATGCCACTGTTATTATTTATATTTTATCAAATCTCAAATAGAAAATAAAAAAAAAAGACGGATATATTTCACACGATGTACCACTGTTGTAGGTCAGAAGTTGGGAAGGTAGAGGGGAAATTTAATGTATATCTGTACGCAACGATTAATCATTACTAATAAAAAATTATTTTGAGTAGAGTTCGGTTATATATATTTTGAAAGGCCGTAATATTTATGATTTTAAAATAGTATACATTTCGTAAATTTTCCCGTTTTTTCTATTATTCCCATTTATTATGAAAGCCTCTGGAAAAAGCAAAAAAAAAAAATCTCCTTAACGTACCACTCCACAAATATTTCCTTTCAGAGAAAATGCTACACTGGAAAATCGGAGCAACATTTTTGGTAGAAAAGTTGTTCATAAAAAAAAAAAATAATAAACATTATTGTATTAATCGCTCCACTCTGAACCTAAAATCACATTCACAAATCACATCATAGTAAAACCAATACAAATCCAATCTAAAACACCAATCTATACCAGTCTACCAATCTACGAATCCACCACGCAGTCATATCGAAGTCAATTACATTTAAATAATGTAGATGCCCGAATGCAATAGTCGAACAAAAATAATTCGAAACAAAAATACATAACAAAATAAGAAAATTGTTTAAATAAAAAAACGATATTTCGTTGGTTTCTTTACCGTCGCAGTACATTATTATAAAACTAATATATTATAACGTTTGAAACCACAATCGAGGAGTTTATTTGTTTGCTTTTTTGAACAAATAACGACCGGCCAAATGTGTAAATAATATCCGTAAGGATGTTTGGTTTTTTTTTTTCGACGTGCGACACCTACTATTACTCACCAGTCACTATTTTACTGTTAATCGGGAATTTATGCAATTGCGAATATTTATTCGAATACGGTATTTATCAAATTGTAAAAGTTCAAAAAAAAAAAAATAAATATTTATAATATCGTAAATTATCTCTGCGATTAATCTGCGGATAAACGCGGTTAGAGGAAAAAAAAAACCAACTCTTCGTGTATTAATTATTTATTCTATAAATGTCCAGGTTATACCACGTATACCAGTATTAATATACCTATACGAATCAAATCGCAATACATCTTCGGTTGTATTAATAATATTATTATTCACGTGAATATTTTTTTATTTTTTTTAATACATATATTATAGTACATCGTTTTTAATAGATACAACGGCGTATAGCAATGGTAATAAGACGGGCAGACTGCAGACAGGCAGACAGGCGGACGGTTACAATGTGCAGCGCGAGTTAAAATTTGATATGGAAACCGATAATTAGATCGACTCTCGGATTGATAACCTCGGTTTATTAATCTACACGTCACGCGTCGTTGTAGTCGTGGCGCATCGTCCTTGCAAAAAATCCATTGCCAATGTCATTTTTAATTTTATGAAAATCGCGTTTTTAGCGGCTAAATATTTTTAAATTTGTTTTCGTAAAAAAAAAAAAAAAAAAAAAAAAAAAAACAAAAATTAATTCATTGCAAACGAAAAAACTATTCGAAGCGGAGTATAGCGTGTTGGTAGTATTAGTCGTGTACCTATGAGGCCGGGGCCATACAAGAAGTTTTCGGTCGGATTCAATATTCATTGTTTTGTACTGTTTGTTAAGTTGGGTTAGGTCGCGATTTCGTCCGCAGAGGAAACCGCCGGTGGGCTAGCGTTTATGTGGACGAACGCCAAAATAATAAAAATGTAAACTCCTAATTTTACATTGGCTTAAATTAGGATAGACTATACTGGTGACGAAAAACTCCGCGTTTACACCATAATTTCATGAAAACACAATAATTGCGTACATTATGTTTTATTAAAAATTAAAATATATTATTCACTATTATTAAAATGTAACACTAAAAAATATGGACATACTTCGCAAAATGGGTGGGGCACTCTTGTAGATGGGAAGGTAGGATAATATACAGGGGAATTTACTGTATATCTGTACGCAACGATTACCCGTTGCTAACGAACAACGATTCGGAGTATACGTGCTTTAAAAGACCGTATAATATTTACGATTTAAACATTTTCTTATTAACCACAAAGTACGGCTTATAATGAATCTCTTGTTAAATTTTCAAGCATTTCTGTTTGGTGTAACTACTTTATCTACATAGTACCTAACGAATAAAAATTACGTAAAAAACTGGCTGAATTGAAACGTCTGAAAACAGCTCAAAGATGGCTCAAATGTTTTGAACATTTTTCCACGTCTAGAAAAGGCAAATATAAATTTTCTCAATGAACATTTTGAACTGAATTACAACAAAAAAATAAATTGAATAATAATAAAAGCATTATATTTTTTGTAAATTTTCCCTTTTTTCCCGGAAAATTTAGGAAAAGGTTAGGTTGAACCGGAAATACAGGAAATTTGTAACTCATTACTAACCGGTAAAGCATTTTTCAAGAAAAAAAGGATCTAAGGGGTGAAATATTGAAAATTCCAATAAACTTATCAAATAAAATACTGCTGGGCATCCTTTGAGGTGTTGTGCGATTCAATTGGAACATTTGCCAAACCAAACAAGAATTTAAAAAATTTAAAAATACATACAAATAAAAATTGTTAGGAAAAAGTACTAGGAATTTTAAAACGTTTTTCGAATAGAGTAATACCAAATAAAAACTTCTCATTGTTTAAGGTGCTACACTCGTGAACAATTTTTACTAACAAAAAAAAAGTGTTTTTTGAGAAATAGAAAATAAAACAATTACCATAATAAAACAAATCGGTATTTCAAATTGCATATATATATATATCACAGTGAAAATTCTTTACAACGAATCTTAAGGAACCAAGAGATTTCTTTCATTATAAAGACTTTTCGCAATAGAGAAGATCAAAGAACTAATGTATATGGGTTACAAACTCACAAAGCAAACCAACCGTTATTAAATAAATTTTACGTTACATATAGAAATTTTTGTTAAACATAGTTTCGTTATAAACATTTTTCACCGCGTTTTTTAGTTACACAATACTAAAACTTTCTTTTTACTTCCAATCGATTAATGTAATTAATTGACGGACATGCTTGGAACTATAAGTGCACCACTAATCACTGTTATAGGTGAGAAGTAGAAACGGAATATAGGGTAATTTAATTTACATCTGTACGCAACGATAAATCATTGCTTACAAAAAACGTGTCCGAGCGAAGTTCGGTTAAACGTGTTTTGATAAACTACAATTGGAAAGAAAAATAGAGCTGTTACTGGGTTTGCTATTGCTTTGGAGAGGAAATTGAGAAATTAGGATAGGTACATAGAGTTGTGTAATTACTGATTTCTATCTATACGCATTGATAAATCACCATTAACGAATTACGATCTGAGCGAAGTTCTGTTGAACACGATTTGAAATGCCGCAATTTCTCGATCGAAACGTCAAAGCTTATAAATAGTTTTTAAAAAAAAAAACCGATAAAATGGTATAAACAAATATTCTATATGGTTTTTTCCGATCGAATTACAAAAACAGACACAAATTCCAGAATATTGAAACCATTAAACTTGTCCGTTTTTCCTATATTTTTTCTTGTTATTATTAATAAAACTGCAAGGAAAATTAAAAAAACTACTACCCTGAAAGTACTGATAACCCGACACAATTTTCCAACTATAAACGATTTTCTACCAGATACATCCTTGAAGTAGATGATCAGAGCGACATTGCTTACCCAAGATTGTTCAATAGGCGTGAATTTTTCAAATATAAGTACAAATTAATGGGATATAATAATGCATTCAAAATATAATCTATTATAAAGCCTTAAAAGGACTGTTTACAATATTTAGAGCCGTTTGTAATTTTGCGAGACACCTTAATTTTTTTTTCCAAATCATTTTTTAATTATCACACATATTTTGTGTTGTTTGCTGTCAAATATCGATTAGTAAAATAATAATATTGGTAAATAAATGGCGAATATTAAATCAATTTCACTAATCTATCCAGTCTGGTCTGGTTTTACATTTCAAAAAAATAATGGTCAGAGCCAAATGTGGGATTGGGATATTTTTTGCCAATCGTGCTCAACAGGTAATCGGTCTTATTAACGGCTTATTTATAATTGAGTAGTGTCACGCTTCACCCGAAATTTTCGGAGTGTACTTAATTTTTTTGCCACCTATAAGCCTATTAACTAATTTGCGAGTTTTAATCTCGCCCACAAAATAACTAAGCGATGTGAGTAAGCCATTATAAGTTTACTAGAACTAATTTTTGATCGATCTCGTCTAAATAACACGAGAAAAACACGGAACCCGGAAAATATAGTAAAAAAAGTAAAAAAAAAGCCAATAAATTATAAAATAAAAATATTTACTTAAAAAAGTTTCATTTTTACAACAAATTTTTGATATCACAACATAAACAATTATTATTATTTGTATCGTCAGTATACCGATACAATTTAATAACTATAACCTAATGGCCCATTCATGCTAGACACGATATTAATCTGGCCCTGGGGCCCTATTCTCAAACTAGTACGAATAGAATCCATATACGAATAATTATTCGCTCATTATTTCCGTATACGAATGAAAAATTAAATTTTCAAACTACTCGTATCCGTATATGAAACTTCGTTCCGCTAAACGTCCGTAGGAGAATAATTGAATGAATACTTCTAATATCTAAAAATCTAAAACCTTTATCATTAAATAAATTGTGTATATTTTGTACATTATAATTAATAACATTGTATATGCAAAACTTGTTGTTTAAAATATTGAAGTGTAGAAAAAGGCATCGATTTAGTGGTAAAAGTGAGAACAAATTTTGAAGGCGGATATTTACTGAAAATTGAATGGCTTTCCCGAGAACTTTCAGGAACCCCATCATGGAGACGTGACTTCCAAAATGTTTTTCTCTCACACATACACGTGTTTATAAAAATTATGTACTTTTAGAATTTAAAAGTAAATTCCAGTATTACACAACTCCTCCTTTTAAATATTATCCTACACATATGCCTGTTTAGTAAAAACAGTTTTTAGTAAAAAGTCTGATTGTACATAGGTAATCTAATAGATATTCAAGTTTTTAAAACTGCACTAAATATTTCAGTCCCAATAACTAAAGCGACCCTCCGGCCTTCGAGGACTTACATTAGAGGAGACTTATAGTTTTAAATTAAATAATAAAGAAGACTCTCTCCGTCCCACTTTAACCACTGGGTATCAAAATAAATACCTATCTCGTTCATATCGTCACCATAGTATCGTTTCACCGTCACACGATACCGAATCGACGCCGACGGACCGATTTGTTTCATCAATCATCAAACAATCTGAACATCACTCTTCAGTTTTTAGATTATAAATTCAATGGTGATACAGTATATAACGAATCGGTGAGCGGCGAATCGATCGGTCACCAAAACGATTAGCGTCGACGTTTCCTAAACTCATTTTATTTATTTTATAATTATAAAATAATTACAATAAACGGTAAGTTCAAAAAACATTGAAGTGTTTAAAATGATGGCGAGTATGGTTAAAAAATAAAAAAATAGGTTTTTACAGCGATACACATGGTTTTAAATATTGGATAATAGAATTCGTATGCACAAAAGCCTGTTTTCGGCTGTCCCGGACCCATCCAAAATAATCGTGTGAATTTTTTTCAAACAAGCGTATAATATATAGGGATCATTTTTGAGAATATACATTTTTCTTAGTGTTTTAAAAACCGTATAAAAAGAGCAGTTTCCGTACGCGGATCGTATAATCGTTTGAGTTGGAGAACAGAAGCCCGGGCGGTTAGAGCCCACCGGGATTTTTTCCGACCACTCGGTGAGCTGTGCAGTCCGGTTCTGCCATTGTGCATTATAACCGTGAACACACAAGACACAATCGACTATATTCTCAAGTTTGAAGACTTATCCGATTCGTAGATACTTGTGTCACATTAGTGAATTGGTTCAATAAACAAGAAAATTGTTGCACCTATCTATAAAATTACGTCAACGGACTTTATAGCGGACCATTAGGTAATGCGCCTATAAATATACCTATTAAATACAATATACGTAAATAAGAAGAATGTTAATATAAATATTAGTATACTGTAACGTATATGTATTATTATAAACGCTTGAAATTCTATAAGTATACGTTGAAAAAATAAAAACGAGGTTATCGCCGTGGTTTTCTCCTAAAAATAAAATGGTTACAGAATAAATTATAACTATATTATACAAATATATTATAATATAACTATATTATACAAACATATTACACATAATATAGATATATAAGTAGCATTGTGTGTGTACTGTGTGTATAATATATAAACGATCTGTCTGTGTATACTGTATATAATATAATTTTTAAATAAATTGTACGTATTACTAAGGCGATCGGAACACACTATATTATTATATGTAGTGGATAAACGCACGTTGGAAAGTACCTCTATCGGTGTGGACTTGAAAAGAGAAAGTTGACAGTTGATCGACTCTCAATAATTAAATGAATCGTATAGGGGAAACATAAATATCCATTTTGATCAAAGAATGTATAATAGCAATAACTAAGAAAATTTATTATTACGATGTTAGAAAAAAAAAAGAAAAAAAAAAGACGTCCTAGGATAATAAGGACGGGTGCAGCCACTGTTATAGATAATTTAATGTATACTTGTAAACAACAATAAACCGGTGCTTACAAAAAAACGATTCTGAGCGGAGGTCAGTTGATAGTAATGCTTTGTCGACAACATATGTGTCATTATATAATAAAATTATTAAATAGGTTTTATATATTTTCTTTAATAATATTTGTTTCATGTTGTACTGATTTTTCCAGTTTTTCCCGGTTTTCTCATGTTTTATCCCAGTTTTTCACATTTGCTAGGAAAACTCTTAAGAAAATCTAAAATTGACCTTCTTAAAATACCTTCAAATGTAGAAATCCAAACAAGTCTTCTGGTAGAAAAGTTTCGCACAGATAATAAAAATAAAAAAGTAAAAGAAATAAACATCTTTGTAAAACTATGAACTTCTTTGCTCCACTCAGAATCTAAAACGAAACAGCATAATATTATATAGTAGGTATTCAAAGAGCCAATGATGTCTTGTAACTATTCGGATCCATAGTACTCGTTTGTTTTTTGTTAAATTTAATGCTACAAAATGCAATATTACGTATCATGTTCTGTTTAGTACAGAAATTCTTAAAATCGGAACTAAATTTCAAACACGAAATTCCGCCGGGAGACATGAAATTAAATATTACCTATTAAATAATTTTCTCTTATATATTTAATGAGTGATGTATAGATCTGGCGTAGCCAGATTTTCGTGTTAAGTGGGGCTAAATACGGTTTTGTTTGAATCATGGGCCTGGAAAAAAGGGCGTTTTGGGAGTTCGATCTTATACCATCTCAAAAGAAAAAAAAAATTGGAAAAGTATTTTCATCAATATGCATTTTAATATAATAATAATTTAAATAAATGTTGATAAGAAAAACTTAATAATGAAATGAGAATATGATTATATTATGTTTACATGATTCTTGGCATATCTTGTAACTGTATACTATAATATTTTACTGAATGTACACCCCTCTGACAGCTGCATCCTCCCAGAAGAATTATGAGGAAAGACAATACATATATAATTTGCATTAATGTCTTCTTTTTCATTTATACTGGGTGTGATGGTTAACCCATGCAGTCTGTTTTCTGATAGTGCTCCTCACACGTTTTCATAACACGGCTCAGTATAGATAACTTTCTTTCGAGAGTGGAAGAAATAATTGGAAACATATAGTTAACACTATTAAATCGTAAAATAGTATGCATCATAAACACAGTCATACGGGGGGCTACGCCTCTGATATAAACCAACAAAAAATTTCATTCGTACTACCGCCTATATAAAGATAGAAAATCGAAATTGGTCCAAAAAGAAAAACAAAATTCTTACTGGCAATTGCATGTACGCCAGTGAACAAGTCATTGTAAACATTACTTTTTTTATATACCTAGTTAAAATATCACAATATATTTACCAAGAAAACATTGTCCCCGTGTTTTATGTTTATATTAATCTGTCAACTGAACACTTACAACTGAAGTATTGCAACATTTACAAGTGCACGATGATAAACACCCAAGTAGTTTTGTTATTTTTTTTTTTTAAAATAGGTACTCACGTCAGTAACGTAACCAAAAGATATTTTTGAAGTGGGGAACGACACTAAAACTATTTATTTTATCTACCATATTTTAGTCTTCAATGACCCGCTGGCTACGGCAACGCGGCGTAGAATTCAAATTTAATTCAATTTAATTTAATGCTATAAACGAATTGAAAAAATCAGAAATATTTACTATAAACCTATAGTTCTTATGACGTAGAGTCATTGTTTCATCTGCCACCAATGGCGAAACGAACCTAAAATAATTAGGAAGCTGGATATCTGTCCAATATCTACCCGATAATATTTCCAAATACATATTTTCATTTTTTTTACTAAATTAGAATTAAATGAATACTAAATATTTAGTAATTTTTATATTGAGCTCCCACTCATACCTAAATCTTAAAAACAAAAACGGCCGCATTCGTTTCATCACTGTTTGTCACACGCTATAATTTCCAAAGTGTAAATCATTTTAGATTTTAAACGAAATGAGAAGTTTTTGGGTTTTAAAATGATGTTTATTTATTATTTTTTTTTTTTTTCTACTTTGTGTATACAATTTCTATCAGAGATCTTGCTTCGATGTGTCAAGTAAATCATCTTTTCTGAAAGAGAATTTTATACCTAGTTGGTATTTTAGGAAAGTCGTTTTTTGACTTTCCAATACTTCAAATTTGATTTAAAAAAAAAATTATTTATACATTGAATACAACCTGTTATTGTTTTCATAACAATTTCCGACGAAAAATAATTTTTTTAAATTTGTTTTACATATTATGTATCTTTATTCAAACGGATGAAGTAATGGCAGGGGGAAATTTATTTTAGTACCTTGCCACTATTTCACTATTCCAAACTATAAAAGTTGTTTTTAATATTTATAATATATAGTATTCACTGTTGGTATACAAAAATTCGGCATTAATTATACATTGACCATTTCAGAAAATTATGCTGCGTCCAAATTAATATTTTCATTAAAAACCATCAGTTAGTTTGCCATTTGAGATAATAAGGGTAGAGGTTAAAAATATATTGATCGTGATACATTATACAAATGCGCAGTAAACACAATTAATGTAATAGGACAGAAATATTTATACTTTAATACATCGTATTAAACTATTGAACAAAAAAATAAGTACATGTTTTTTATAGTTATAATTATTTGTAAACCTATATTTTTTGTTCAATACAAAACTGGTTTGCGTCCAAATAAATGCTAGTTCTTTTTACTATAGGGTATAATATTTGCATCTGCATCTCGGCGGTGCATTTTTCTACGAGCAATAATTATTTAATATTATATCGTGTTATTCGAAAACGCCAGGTCATTCAACAAACTACAATAATATAGTATTACACGATAATAATACGGTTTTAACAATATTTTTTCCATCGGGTTTTCGTAATTTACTTTCATTTAGGTTCAAAATTATTATTACACATCTACGAAACCGAAATGCATTTCATTTCGTTAAATATCATCCCATTACACTTGTATTATCCACGAATTCTGTTAATAAGATTATTTTTTTCCCCAGTTTTTCATAATATTTTCATTCATTTCATTTGGTACGTAGAAAACGTATAATTATAATTATACATATAGATGCCTGCATTATTGTACAAAACATCGAGTTTAATCTGTAGAATGTTTTCTAAAAAATATTATAATATAATAATTGTACATTGAAACTACGCTATAGATACAATAATTACTTCAACGATAATTGTATAATACAAGTACACCATTCGTGTAGTATTCAATTTTGAATTTTATGATTACCTTTCAATAATAAACGCTAATACGTTATATTATTTTATCTCTTGATTGAGATTTATTGCTGTCCACTTCACTTTTAAATGTTCGTTTATAGTATAATATATACAAATACACTGCTGAACTATTATAACCATATAAGATTTATGTATGTGTAGGTATAATGTATAGTGTTAATACTATAAAGGTGTATATATTTGATTTTTTTTTTTTTTTTTTTGTTTTTATCGAATTTTCCACGAGAATATTACTCTGTATTGTATCCGATGCCCATCATCTATACGTTTTTCCCGCTACTTTTGAACAATTTTAGTTTCCTCCTTTTAAACCAAATTGATTCGAACCCCTAAGACCATCCAAATGTCGCTAAACTGTGTATGTGTATTGCATTAGTGCCAAGTATGAGCAATTTGGGGATTTCAACCGTCAACCAACGCCCTCCCCCCTCTCAATGGTATATAAAAAAATGTTACCATCATTTTTGTATTCGGTATTATAGTAGTAGTACCTACGTACCTATTCGGCTATTAATCGTTCTTCATTATATTAATGAAACCGTTAATACGACCGTCGATTATTCAGTTTTTTCTACATTTTTTCCTGATTATATAAAAAAAAATTAAATGGAATTCAAAAGATTACCTCTTCGAAACATCAAATAAGTCCGAAATTCTAAAAAAAAATCTTGTAATTCTTTTAATTAGAACAATATTCTGGTATAAAAGTTAAAGTTATAAACAGACAAGAAAAAAACACAACAAAGTAAAACCTCTTTGTGCTAAATACCTAAAATTGATAATATAAACTTACATTATACACTACACTTTCATGTATAAAATATACTTATATACGTTTTAGATCCCACGGGACAACGAAGAAATTCCCCCCCTTACCCAACTAGTTAAAGAAGTATAAAAACCACGAAACAGACTAGTGTCATATATATACTGTTCTATATTCTCAAAAGTGTTATTATAAAATATATTCACTTTGTGCTACATAAGTACCTACTTATCTTCTACACATATAATGTAACAAAATACAGTCGTGTTTAAAATTGCATTATTTAAAACGGCTACGGTTCAATATTATTGTCGTTTGTCCTTTACGAAAAATAAATTAAAATTTATAAATTCATGTTTTGCAATATAATTTCAAAAGTTAAACGCCATTATTTAAGTTTTGTGGATAAGTGGAAAAAGTATATAATTTATGTGGGTATATTAAAAACGTATACACAATAATTTGATTGAAAATCTAAATTATTTTTTTAAAACTTTCTACGAAATTTCTACCAGAAATATTGCTCCAGTGTATCAAGTGCAGCACATTTTCTGAAAGGAAGTTTTATCTAGTTAGTATACTATAAGCGAGTCAAAACTTTTTTTTGCGTTTTCTAGAGGTGGTCAAATTTTCAAAACATTTGAGTTATTTTTTTAAACTTTACTTTATTATAGACATTTTTTTCGCGAGTTTTTTACGAAATTATTATTTAGTAGGTACTATGTGTAAATAAAACTTTTAGATTCGACAGGAATGTTTTAAAATTTAACAGGAGATTCATTATATGTCGTATTTAGTGATCAAAAGAATAACCTAACCGAACTTCGCTCCGAATCATTTTTCATTAGAAATGGTTTGTCATTGCTTACAGATTTGAATTGAATAACTATGCATCTAAACTTCCGAACTTTTCACCTATAACAGTGGCATATCCGCCCCCTATATCAGCTTTTTTATCATTAAAAAGACCATAAACATTGAAATTTAAACACAATTTATTATTAAATATTCGTTTCCCTAAAAATCGATTCAGTCGGGTTAAAGATACCTATTAATAAAGTTGTTTAGTTTGTATCTGTATGTAACGATAAATTATTGCGAATAGAATACGATTATGAACAAAGTTCAGTTAAATATTTTTTGAAATACCGCGAGTTTTACGTTTTCATAAAAATTTCAACTTCAAATGATTATAGAAAAAATCTTTGCCTCGCGTTACATTTTCAAGCATTTCAACACTAGGCCGAAACAATTTTATCGACATAAAACCGAAAAAAAAAAAAAACATAAACATATGTCGAAAATATCGAATGTCTATAAAGATTGCCAAAATATTTACCACGCCTAAAAAGGGCTTATCTATATCTAGTATTGAGTGAAAATTTCTGATCTCTATACGCTAAAACAAAATCGAAAATTACGAGACCTCGTTAATGCCGTATAAATTGTTTTTTCGTTCATCCTGTGTTTTTTATATCAGTTTTTTCAATTATTAGAAGAACAACGAAGAAAAACATACTACACTAGGAAATCGGAGAGAGATTTCTGGTAGAATAGTTGTTCACAGACAGAAAATGAAAAAAGCACGTACCATTGTAAAACCAATACATTTCTCGCTCAGAATCCAATTGTGATTTGACATTTGGTTGGGTTTTAAATCATAATAATAATACGGACGAAAAACTACTACCGCCGCGCCGGGACATACCGAATGAATCACTGTAGTAATGTGATATTTTTGAAAATAATTATTTTTCATTTTTTCATTTTATATTTATTTTCGATATTCAAATGATTTCGTAAAATACCTATATTTTACTCGGTAGGTAATAAAAAAAGGCTTAATTTCCAATAAAATATACATAACTTTTCATGGACATATTTTATCATGACCGTGAAATCGACGTTATTTACTACTATATGCTCGTAACAAAAATAATAATAATATAATGTTTCAGAACGATGGTTATAATGTCGAGTCGCAATTATTTTACGCCGTGTGTATAATATCTCCCGTAATAATTGCAAACACATTTTTATATTTTTATTTATTTTTCAACCTATTTAATGGTTACATTTCAGGAATGCACGATCATATAATAATATTTTGTCCGCGTTGTTAAATATATTCATTTGCTCATAAAACGTCTCCAGCGTATATCGTTAAAAATATGAAAAAAAATAAAATAAAATAAAAATCAATTTTGGTTTTTTTTTTTCTTTAAGAATATTTTTTTACTACCGCCAGTCAAACCTAAATTAGGTTGGTTTCTCGTTATTACAAACGGGGATTTGTACGCATGCAGTTTAAAATACTAAAAACTAAATAGTAGTAACACGGAGTCCATAATATTTCAATATGTAGTGTTTTATAGTTTTAGAACATTTATTTTTTTTTTTTTTTACCCTAAAGACTACATAATTGTACGATACATTATTGGTGCATGCAATTATTGTTACATTTTATAGATATTTGTATTGTAAATTAGTTACAAAAAATATTATAATACTTTTGTCGAATTTTCGCCGAAAATAGAAACTATTGCACTGTGTTGTATCCGCGATTATAATTTATACCTTAAAAAAAATATTATATACTCGTACATCATTTTACCGCTACTTTTGGATAGTTTTCTGGACCAAATGAGCACAATTTCGGGAATCCAGTGGCATATATTGGAGAAGGTTTTGGGGTCCAACCCCGCCCCCCGAAATTTACGGTTGGTACGGCACACGTGCGCATTTATGAATCTATTTAATCTATGTATTAAGTAAAACCCAAAAGCTTTTCTTATAACCCCCCTATCAAATTAATTTCTGTGTACACCATTGCGGAAATCAGAGTTGTTTTGCAGATGGATCGATGTACTACAAGTTAGATGGAATTTTTTTTTATTTATTGAATATTTTTCAATCTATACATATTAAGCACAATAATTAAATAAGACGGATACAATTTTTTTTTCCTTATTCGAGTGGCATTAAGAAGATAGGCTGTCCAATGATAGAACCCAAAATATAAATTTAACCGTTTGCCGCGGATGGAAGCTGGTTTTTAGCTTTATACACCCCTACTACGAAGCCACGGAAATGAAATTTGTTATTTGCTTGGCGTTAGTATCAAAGTTAACCTCCACCTTTTATGATTGATTTTTTTTTTTTTTTTTGGAAGTATCATGAGTATCTGCAACAAGCATAGCACTTAGTATTGTATTTTTACAGTGTATTCAGTTATTAATGTTTTGCAAAGAATATTTTCTATTATATAAAATAGGCGAGGAAAATTCGTCTGTATAGTGACGGGACTCTGCTGCTCACGGATGGCTCTTTGTATAATATTTATTACAATTAATTTTTATTGGTAATCAATGGAAACTCTTCTGGTCCTTCGCCTTCGTCCCGTGACAATTCAGGAACGGCTAAACTAGTGTTGATTTTGTTATTGTGTTCCTATCGTACGCATATTTAAATCAGAGCCCCGCGGTCGAACGAGATCCGAAAAAAAGGCGCCGTCCATTAAAATGTTTGGGAACCGCTGACCTAGACGACACTCGGGAGACCGCCATTACAATAAATGTGGCCGCAGAGTGTGAAGCGAAACAGAGAGTGCTCGACACTGAAATCCCATCACCGTGTAAATACTCCTGTCACACATTAATTCAGTGGCGTATTTATAAACGTAGAGCTAAACAGGCCGGAAGCCTAAGGTGATGGCCATTACACTATCGGACGCGACGATATACGGTGACCGCAACCGACGCAACCGACCCGCAGCGAAATATTATAATATGGCTCACCAAAAATATTATTAAGCCCGGTGCCACATACTATTTAGTAATTGCATACCCTTTGGAAAGCGTATATACAAACGTACTTGCGTTATTCTTATTACAATTTAAAGCGTTTATACTTTATGATATTTTCACAATGGGCTTGCTTTATACATTTAAATTTTACTTTTTTCATTTTAATTTTTCATTTTCAGCCATATTGAATCGGTTAAACGTGATAGTATGACAGTATCCATTGAATACATTATTATAGTATGTTCGTTCTGTATTGCGGTACCGTGTCAAAAGCGTGTGAATTTTGAACAGAATTTTGCGACGCAGTCGATTACATTGGTTGTGGTCATCGCATCGCCGCCGCATCGAATATAGTATGATGTCATTAGGGAATGGATTTATATGCACTTAAAATCCACAAAAAATCCTATTAAAAACGTTAAAAATACCTCCGAATAATCAAAAATACTATAGGAGTTTTTAAAGTACCCCTCACCTCCCATCTAACAGTTCAAATATACAAAATACAATTTTCAAATATTAAAGAATAATAACATGAAGAATCTTTTTCTTATATTTAACGTTTAATTTCATTTTTTTAAAAAATTACTTTGCGTCAATCGTTTTTGTAGCGTTAGAAAATTGTGTTTAATTAGTTAAAATACCGTTTTTACGTAACAAGGGGATATCTAAACACGAACTATTTTTGCTTTTTTTAAATATTTTTCGAGTGTTTTTTTTCAGGGCTTTATTGGCGTTTTCAAGTGCTTTTTTTTCTTTTTTTTTTTTAGCACATAAATTCGTTCTCTAGACATCACTCATTTAAATACACGTAAAAGCCCACAGCGTGACGTATGTGTAAACCACCAGCGGCAAAATACGGCTACGGTAAATTGCTGCATACTATACAATTTTACCGTCACCGCAGAGCGATTTCGGTACCAGCTATTATTTTATAATGTAATATATGTCCGTGAATATTATTTATCACATATTCCTCTCGAAATAGATTTCAATGAACTTGCCCGACTCATAATGGAATAATGATGGTGGGCTTATTCCTTCCGGAAAAAAATTAAACAATTAAAAACTTCAATCGAATATCAGCGTATTGTGTGTGTATGCCACGATGAATATTGTCGGTTACCCACCGAAACTTCGCAAGTCGATTTTAACGAGTTTTACAAAACTGTTGTTAAGAATACTACATGGAAAATCATATAATAACCTCTCCGATACATCAACTATAATTAAAAATACTACAAGACAGTCCCTATTGAATTTTTAATTGGAGCAAGATTTTTGATAGAGAAATTATTTACAGAAAAAAAAAAAACGACTTACGAGAATTTGCTGAGTAGCCTACGATACCCAACATGTATCATTTATGATTAGGTGGCCAAAACAAGAGTTTTATCATCGTCTCATAATAGTAATATAATAATATGCACATGTATGTGTCTATTATTTTTTTTGTTTAATTAAAATTATATTTTCTTTATACAAAAGTTCACTCCCGCAACCGCTGCAATGTGAACGAGTTAGCACTAGCTGACGGTTACGAGTGATGGCGCTACCACCAATTCCACCTCTGAAGTGTACAAGAACCTTTGTGCGGGGAAGAACACTTATTTACAAATTTCAAATTTTTTTATTTATAAATTATTTATAAACATGTTACCATCGTTATTATTCCCAGCGATAAATATCTTACACGTTGAATCGTTTAAGACTGTATATATTAATATACTTGTATTAAATGTACAAGAGTGCATATTTAAAGTGGGTGCGAGAAAAAATAATCGATACAGACGGGTTATTTGTGTAGGGTCGAGGTCGAGGTCGGGGTCGAGACGTTATTATACAGTTCCCCGTTTGTAGGTATGTAAAAATAAATGTCTATAAAAAAAAAAAAAAAAAAACTGACATGCTTCGCATTATGAGTGGGCCACTTTTGTAGGTGTGAAGTTGGGAAAGTAGAGGTAATTTAAATGTAAATCTGTACGCAAAAATTAATCATTAATAGCAAAAAACGATTCTGAACAGAGTTCGGGTGCACATGTTATTGTACTGTATTTATTATCTACCCTTCAAAGTGTTTTAATAACAAATCATTAAATTTAAAAAAAATGTGATACCGCTCATTGCTAAACCACTGTTGTATAGTCGGGTATAGTTGAGAACGTAAGCATACAAGGCAATTTGGTTTCTAATGTACTGTATTCAACGATTGCTTTTCTCAAACGAAAACACGATTCTGAACGGAATTGTATCAGTAGTGTCGACCGTGTTTTTTCACCGGCCTTTATACAAGGTAACACAGAAGTCAATAACAAAAACGAAACCGACGTAACCGCATTAATTGTCGTTGTGGTTTTTAAACCGTACATTATTTTCAAGTAAAACCGATACCGAATGCACAGCTTTCTTGCTAACTGAAAAATGCGTTTTCCGAGGGTGGGGGGGAAACCGAACCAGGACCTACGGGGGGAGGGGGGGGGGGGGGTGTCAGACGTTGCGCGTTTCGATAAATGTTTCGAATAAAGTACCGCCGCGCCGGGAATTCCGCGTCTTTTTTCGGGTGCTCGGGTGCGAACGGACTGAAAAAAATCTGCCCGACCGAAAATAATAACGCGTTGTCCATTGAAAACGCGGCGAAAACGATTTTTCGGGGAAAACCGTTTCGGGTTTCTGGTAAACCCGCGTCTTCTAACGTGTACCGGCGTACCGACGCTGTTACAAACACGCAACGCGCGGCCACACAAAAAACAATATTATTATCGTCTATAGTCATAGACAATCGGTCCGCGGCGTGCGATCGTCGTCCGTGCACGTATCACGGTACGCACATTTTGCCGTGCCGGCGCGAACGAACGGAATCGAAACCTCCTACCGAGCCGCCGTGCTGCTACGATATTACTGTGGGACGGATAGCTGTTGGTATCTACAACGCGATATTATATTATTCTCACGTTGATACAGACGTGATTTTCACGAGCGCCGGAACATTATTATCACGTGTATTTGTGCACCGCGTCAATCTAGAACGCCGCGAATGCATAACGTATGTGTGTATTTATGTGTACGTCTATAAAAAAAAAAAAAAAAAAAAAAAAAAAAACACCCTGTAGTAATTGCGCTCGCGTCCCGTATAGCGTATGCGACGAAAAAGATTTACGGTTCCGCGCGACGGCACCGCGAGTACTGCCGCTGGAATATCGATTCGAGTGTGCAATAATAATAATAATAATAATATTACGATTATTATTATTATTATTTTAATACGACGGCGATGATAATGCGGCGATAATATCGCGCGCGCTAAACAACATTGATATATTGCCGATCTAAAATGAAAATAATTAAAAAAAATTACGATTACGTTCTGCAGTCGATTTTACGACCGTTGGACGCGACGGCTACGTGCGCACCGGCGAGTTTACGGTCCGTCCGTCCATGGAGCGCGTCCATCGTGACAGTTGCTTTAACACGGCCTTTCAAAGGGAACTGCAGCGCGCACGGGTCGTAAACATTCAAATATTATTGCGTTTTTCACATAGCACACGGCCCGTCCCCCTCCCGCCGGTCCCCGCAGCGGAGTATATACGGATGTATATATTATTGTATTCTGTGACGTGTAATATTTATTATTATATTATAATAATAACGATAATAATAATAAGACGAGTATATATTATATACGCATGAACGCCATTTCTCCTCCGCGTGTATATGTGTACACACCACGATGGAAACAGTAAAATTCGGTCTCGCGTACTATCCGAGTAAAATATTATACGGATATTCAAATACCCTTATAGTATTCCGAACATTTTCCAAATATTTTTCGTAATCCGTATGTTTTGGGAAGCATTACCGTTTTGGCCGTATTCGTATTCGAATTTCAAACGCGCTTTTAACGTAAATACGTTTATAAATTTAAAAGAATTGTCACCCGCGTCGTCTTAAAATACGTTGGTGCCGTCATCTTTTTAGATTGACCGGTCCTCGCTGCAGTCCTAGGTTCTAGTTTGATACTTTTATCTGTAATGGGCTCTATTACTGAATTGCTTCCCATCTCCTACATCCGAGTATTTTTTTTATCTTTTATCTTGATTCCATTTGCTTATCGTATTCGTTATACCAATTGCAAATGTATATTGCAATGTATAATACGTATAGAATCATCCGTCACGTATATCAGATTGTTTTTATCGATAATCATTAGGTATAATATTTTATTTATGCTAGTTTTTCATTCGTAAAAGTATAATACTCCGTCACTACAGCCGTATAATGCTTCAGTCGAACGAGAATTCAGTGTTGGTGTTGGCAAATTTATCAACAACAAAAAAAAAAAAAAACGGTAAATGAACGATGAACTCTTCACAAAACCCATGCTGCTTATAAGTGATATTCAATGTTTTGGGAATGATTTATTTTTAAAAATTGTAAACCATTCATTTTGCAAACCCATACTTGTAATAACTATTAAGCAAAATTAAAAAACAATTTTAAATGTATTTTAAACACTTTCTAAATGGATGTATTTATATTTGTATTTATGATGTTAGATCTGTATTAATTTATTAAAGCTAAACTGACTGCATAACTTTTAAACGGTATTTTCTGAACGTCTCGTTCAACATTACTTACAATGTCCGTACCTTTCCCTAAGCTAGAAAGGAAATGTTAAATATACCTAGTAAATATAAATATTTTATAAAGAAGATTGTTTACTTCGTCTTGGCCAAAAAATTATTCAAAACCATTTTCAACACTTAATAGTTTATTAAGTATTTGTTAATTGTTAAAATCAATAGAAATTAACTTAAAACACGCATTTTTCGTGATAAAAATAAAAATATTTTAAAAATCATTCGGCCGAAACATAGTTTATTACTTTTCTTTACAACATGTACAATCCCTTCGTCTTGAACTCAATCAGAGGGTCGCAATCGTGCAGAATACCTTTGCCGCTATACTTGTATTGTGCGCGAGACAGACAGATAAACCAAATTTTACGTCAATGCCTCTTATTCGCAATATTTAATTCATAATAGTATAATTTTATTAAAACTATACTTAAAATCTTCTTTCTCTCTTAGGACAATGTAGTAAATAACCCGAATTGCAAACGAAAATACGTAAATATACAATTAGTGCGCTCGATATTTAATACTCTCTTCATCCCTATCCCTCGCATTAGTTTAATCGCATACCAATACATGTATCTTTTGCTAATATTACTGTTACAAGCACGATAATATCAAATTCAACAAAATCCTTCTTCAATGTATAACCATTCGGCTACGACAAACACATTATGAAGATGACAATATTTAGTTATTTAACAAAACATCAAATATTCGCATAATATCAAAACTTCAAAAAGTTATAATTTCGAAACCAAGTCAGCCCGCTCAATTCTAACTTCACAACAGATTCTTAAATCGATAATAACGCATATGTTCAAAAAAAAAAAAATCGAAAGATTAGATTTGTTCCATATAACTTTCTACTCAAACGATTTTCATCAAAATTTGATATTAAAATTCCTATACAAAAAAAAAAATACTACGTTGAACTCAATTTTTTTTTTGACCCCAAAGTAAGACTTTTAAAAAACCTTCTGTTAAATTTTCAAGTATTACTGTTAAGTCAAACAATTTTACCACAGAGTATGTACCAAATAAAAATTACGTACAAACCTCGCAAAATAAAATGTCTATAAGTAGCTCAAAAATGGTATAAATTTGTTAAAAATTTTACTGTCTAGAAAAGACAAATATGAGCTTTCTGTCTAAATTATTAGTCCATAAATTCGATACGAATATTTTTAACTGAATCTCAACAAAAATATTAAAATTTTTATAAAAAACCTAAAAATGACTCAAATGTTTTGAAAATTTTACCATGTTTAGAAAATATAAGTTTTCTGTCCTGATTTCAAGTCTCTACGAATATTTTTAACTAAAACAAATAACAATATTGAAAAGTATTATTTCGTAAATTCCCAGTTTTTCTTACGTTTTATCTTGGTTTTTACCAGATATTATGAAAACCACTTGGAAAATCAAAAAATTACCTCCTAAAAGTACGATCTGGACTACATTCCCTTTCAGAATTGGTGCCACGCGTATATATCAGAGCAAGATTTTTGGTAGAATTTTCGTACACAGGATAAAAAAATAAGAAAACAAAAATAAACATCTCAGTAAAACCAAAACATTATTCGCTACACTCAAAATCAAAAAAAAAAGAAGTACGAAATGATAAAATTACAAACTCTGTCATTTTGTAGTTCGGTAGCTGTACTTTTACGAGTAATATGTGTTCATCGTAACATAAACTGTTTTGTAGTTTTCTTCGATATTATTCGTTACATAAATAACATATAAAAAAAAAAAATAAACATCTTTGTAAAACCAATACATTCTTCGCTACATTCAGAATCTAAAATATTATTATTATTATTATTATTATTTTTTTTTTTTTTTTTTAAAGTATTAGGTATTAGTGATAATATTTTACAGGCTAATAGCTACTACATTGCATACGTCTGTATAAGTATAAACGAGACAGATATAATTATTGTGGTACAAATCGAGGTCAAAATGATAACAAGTGGCCCATATATTATCCATAATAATATTTATTATTTATTATGCAATAAAATATTATGTAATACGATTCATTAAGCGTACATAACATACAGTACGGATTTGCACGTTATTATTGTATATTTGTTTTCCCGCTTTTCACAAGTCTGTTTTCGCCTTAATAATCTTTACAGGTCGTACTATTGTAATATTGTAGAAATCGTTTACGAGGTTCGATTTTGCTGTTTTTTTGCATATTTCAAAAGATTATGCGCCATTACGAAAAAAAAAAAAGAGTATCGGTCATCGCCGAAATGACGGCTGCCCGTCAAATGAAATGCCCCAGCTTTATAATTTTTAGATACGGGATTTCCCGAGAAATAATAATATACCGTTTGATAATTTTTATTGATATTTTAACAACGAATTATAGAAATATGCGTTCATCGTATTATAATATAAAAGTGTTATTATTTTCGAACGTTTGATTTTTAAACAGCGCCATTTTAAGGAAGTTTTCTGTGTCCAAATGGATCGACGGTAATGCCTATATTGGACGCTGTAGTAGAGTAGTTTACTGTGTGTTCGCAAGAGAATAAATAGTGAATGATTGAATTGTATAGATTTTTTAACATTATAATTCATGTACCTAACCTAACGCTCTCACTGGTGGATGGGACGGTAACCGTTCGAAGTCCAAAAGTTAAAAAGGAAAGTATCAACTCGTACAGCTTTTTCAAGGGAGAGAGGACACACAGTGAATATTCGCTAAGAAATTGCCTACTTTTCAATATCATTTTTAAAATTTTCATACTACATATCTGTCGCACATTTTTATCGTTTTTGTTGAACGTTATATGACAAACTTTAATACTTTTCAGTGTATGCGTCCAAACCCAATATATATAAATATTATGATTTTTATGAAAAAATATTTTCAACTTGTAGGATGTATATTAATGTTATAAATGTATTTGCATTACATAGATACTCGATTAACACGAAATTCGAAATACAAAATAATAACTGTGAACTCGAATTATAAGTTACGGTTATTGTATTTTCAAAAGAGTTGCTTATATTCGAGTAAAACAATTGCATACGATTTCCCGAATGTCGGACATTGGACGAATGAGATTTTAAAGCCCTGCAATTACCTGCCCATAATATCTAATTGAAATTTGTCCGAATTGTGATATTTTACAGAAAATATGATTTTAAAAACCTGCAGCGATCTATCTGTTACACGCACCGTAAAAACCTATAATATTATAACAACAGTCGAAAACATTATACAACTTTAATGTTATTGTGTTATTTAAAAATATATAGGTACCATACCTATAGTTGAAATGCCGCGAAAAAGTTTATTGTAACTATCATATTTTCATTAAATGTTACTATTTAATATAGGTATATAAAATATACGTAAAAGTTATAGTAGTAGTTATATACCCTGATCATGGCATGCTGATAATAAAGTTTTAAATAAAAGTTAAAACTTCAACGATTAGTATTATAATAATATACAGAGGAATTTTTTAATTTTTTTTTAAGTTTCCTGCCTTTAAATTTAAAAAAAAAATTATACTATATACATATTTAAAATCTAAAAGTTGTTTTCGTTACCCGATTACCTGTTAATTATTTAGTTCGCAAGAAACTGCAGAACAACCGGCGAAAAACGATGCATTAAGTAAACGACCTAATTTTATAATTCGTACGCGACTTCATATATATATATACACTAAGTTGGTTTTGTTAATATAAAACACGGGTCTTTTATTAAGACTAATACAAAAGTATATTACGTACCTATGGGATCAGTGTGTTTAGATATGAATAACAATTATTGTATAATTTATACTATGTCTAAACAAAGAAAAATAATTAAACGGTTATAGTTGTGTGCAATACGATTTGTTTGGGTTTTACTTGGTTTTCTTATATAGGTATCAGCGGGTAACCCAAACAAAATCGGTTCTGTACGAACTGTACAATGGAATTTATTTGATGACTTTGCATTTCAGAGACCGAAATCGCTATAATAGGTGTTATACGCAATACCTATATTGTTTCACGTTTGAAAATCGTATTTTTATTAGCAGTGAATCTAGAATTTTATTTCACTTTTATGGGGATGGGAAGGGCAAAGATTTAAAAAAATATTTAAATCCAACCCGTTGTGTACACCTATAGATATCTAACACAGGCTGTAAAAATTAAGTAAAAATACTGGATACTTAAAAAACCAAATTATACATAAAGTGCGAGTATATTATGTACAATAAGTGAACTTGAAATATAATTGAAAAAAAAAAAACAAAACCAAAATAAATCCGTGCGTTATTAAAGTTTTTAAATAAAAATAAAATATTTATAAAGACAGATTTATTTTGACAATGGCGGTTGGTCAATATAGTCTTATTCTGCTGCAGCTTTTGTGTACTTTCATGCTAATCTAATTATTGCATCGAGTAATTTATTTTTTCTTATGAAATATTGTAAAACTCGTCACAAGAATTACAGTTTTATACTGCAAGAATACAAACTAGTACAAGATAACCGACCCGCTAAACTGGTCCAAACAATAACCCAAAAATACCATTGTAAAGTAGAGATTTTATTGAATAATGCCGTAAAGACAAAAAATTAATTTCAAAAATTAAACATTAACAATAAAGAAAAAAACCATGCGTCCCGTATAATTTTCATCGGGACAACGGGACACATAGTTGAAATACGGAACAATCTTCTATAATACGGTCACCGCCGTTATTTCTCAATCTATGGATCGCAAACAATTTTGATTGGCTCGCCCGAACATTTAATAAGTGTAAAATAAAGGATGTTTTAAAAATTTCTAAAAAAAAACTAGGAAAAATATGAAAATCTTAAAAAAAAAATGGTAAAAACTTAACTCTTTATTGCGTGTTTTTCATCTGATAACGTAGACTCCACACTGTTAAATTTGAACTTAAAATTGAAGTTATAGAAATTTCCATTTTAAATTTAAATTAAAATAAAAATAAAATAAATAAAATGTTAAAGAGAAATCGAGAACGATGGGTCTACGTTAGTGGTGCGCATGAGCCAGATAATTGGGGAGTGGTCAAGAAATAGTGTCTGAAAGTAGGGAATGAGAAATGGATCGAATTTACGATCCAAGGATCCATGGATCGAAGGCGGGGAGGGACTTTAAAGTTAATAAGAGAAAGGAAATAAGGAAAATCAGTTTAACCTGAAATAATGTTGGAAAGAAAAGAGAGATTTCGTGCCCATCTGCGGTCGGCGAGGCTGGAAAGATTGAGGACATTTTGGATAGAGGAACAGTCATGGGGAGGGTGAGGAATATAATTATTACATATTATTTAAGTCTTTCTAGGATGTTTGCTTTTTGAAATTATAGCAAAATAAAGTGAACGCAGACGTGCATATAGACTTCACCCGTAGTTAATGTGGGAAGAAAAATATGATTCCTGATAATAATAAAAACCAAATGTCTCCAAAAATATTATAAAAGCCCAAGGATTTACTCACAAAAATACGATTTAAAAAAATCACATATAGTTTTATCGGCTTGAATAAAAATGTTCGCCTTGTTGGTAAATAAATGTAATAACTGCATTTTGGCAATTGTTTAAGATTCTGTATGCATTGGGATAAACATGAAGCCACTGCACTATATTCACGCTTATGAACGCAACACTACAGCGCGGAAAAAAATTGTACGGGTTTACGTTATACGTAGTGTCTCTTGAAAATCAACATACTTACATTTTTGATTTAAGGGCCGAAGCAAAATTCATAAAAAAAAAACATAAAAATTACAAAAAATAATGAGAACCTGACGGAAATTATGGAATTATGGAAAAATTACGTGAACAAAGTTAAATAAGAAAATTATTTTTAAAAAAATGTCAAAAATCAACTCATGCCTCTCATACTCCCGTGGGACCAAAGATACTATATAATTGGGTTTTAAACGTTATTTACATCAGGCAGTTTACAATGATAATGATTTCCAATCGGCTGAAGAGCCGTGTGAAATACGTAATGTCGAACACTCCGGCCAGAAAAATGAATTCATCCAGTCGTGGTAAAACAAAAAAAAAATAAATAAATACTCCCGTTATTTATTATGATTTAACTTCGGCCGGAAAACTCAGGCCGCTGCATAATTCACAAACGTCTATATTTTAGTATAATATAATCGATGATAGCATCATCGGTAATAATATTTGTAAAAAGAGCTTATAGTTTACAAGTGCCGCGCGATGTAAGATTTAAAACGAATAACCCGTATAAGTGCATCCGTGTTGTTTATCGAAAATCGCCATTGTCATCGATTTTACACTATCGTTGTTTTCCGTTTAAGCGAGACCACTTTGTCGACGCTCTTGTTACAATATTCTTAAATGAAAAATTACACGAACACGCTCATACACTCACTCGCAATGTTTCTTAGGTGGGTTTTTTTTTTTTCTCAAATACATTATGTATTATATTATTATAATGTACACGGGGAATTTAACCGCAAGTCTATTTTTTATTGTCAGTGTTAATGATATCACGGAAAAAAAAAAAAATTAAAATAAACAAACAAAAAACACGTTTCAATTACGAATGTAAAACGTGCGCACATCTACACGAATTAGCGATTTCACAAACGCTCGGCGTACGATCGTATACATCATCACCCAATAATTATTTAAGCTCGAATTTCAAACGAATTAATTTTTGTCGGGACACAATACCACGGTAACGAATCCATGCATACATGTTAGTGATAATTTTAAGCGAAATATATAGTAGATATTCAAAAAAAAATAAAAAACACACGCAAACTCAAAAGTACCGGAATATCATTTTGTATACAGAAATACAAAAAATAAAGGACGTCATTAACCATTGGGCTTTTTCGTTTGAATATAGTTTTAAATTTCGATATAATTTTTTTTTAAATTTTTTTCCTGACACGTATATCCCCTGCAGGAGTTACGATAATGTCGTAGTCTGAATTATCGGGTTATGATTTTGTTATTAGTGTTTTACGGATTAATACGGACTTCACGTGCGTGCGTGCGTCTGTTGTCGCCGGCACAAAAACACGCCGGGCATGGCGAATTCGAGTCCGGCAGAATCAATTTTCGGCCGTTCGTTTTAATACCTATACGGTGAGCCGGCCTAATTATCGAACTTAATCGTCTTTGAGCGTCGTCCGCGTTCGTACGACGGTACACGGTATGAATATTAAATGTATACATTATAAATAAACAGATGGGTAATATTTGATCGTATTCTAAATATTCATGAGGGAAAGGTCACGGGTCGGGGATGACGAACGCGTCCTTTCCTTCGTCCATCCCGCGACCCCGCCGTTTGACCGCCCCGCGGTTTGTACGTGTATATACGGGTATATATGCAAGTAACGTGGTTATTAAAAAACAAGCCGTCTACAATACTTGTCGTACACTGTTGTACTCATCGATAATTAATATCACACTATTATCTTATTATCATACGGAAAGGAGTAAACGCGTACCGCGTTATACCGTGTTATACGCGGCACGAGCTAATATGACGGCGAATGAATTCGAACAGAGAAAAAAACGAAAACCCGCGCAACTGTAACGTGGGCGCCACGCTCAAAAATAACAATATTTTAATCGTTCGTTCTGACTAGAGTATCTGTTCTAAACTAGACCGGGCGATAAACTCGTGTTAATAACTTAACCCGAATATATTATTTAGTTTATTCGTTACAATATAGATTTGATTTTTTTTTTTTCCGGCAAATAGGTAACCCCGAGCTCTTAAATTTAACTTTTAATGTGCGTCGGGCCACACACGCTATATATATATATATATATATATATATATATACATGCTCGGTGTTGCGAAATTGCCAGATTTCCTTTTTTTTTTTCTTACAAATCAAATCAAACTCGAATTCGTTTAACTAATAATACCTATATAATACAGTCATTATATTACTCGTATCCATGGTATTATAGCGCTCGAATCGATTAATTGTTTGAAAAAAAAAAAATAAATAAATAAATAAAAAACGCTGTATTTATAATTTGTTTTGATTGTGCATAAAATATACTGTATACGAACGTCATAAACAAGAATAAAATCGTACACTTCATACATTATAATACCTATATCACGGACGCCGATCGCGTATCGCGTTTCGTTTCAACTTTTTCGTACGCGTTATGTATACATGCAATAATTAATAATATATTTTAATAGCGTCGGTGTTAAATAATTTGCAGTTGTTCTTTTTTTTTTTTTTTTTTTT